ATTTTTGGGGTGGGGGGAAATTCCCATTTTTTTGGGGGCAATTCCCATTTTTGGAGATTAAATTCCCATTTATGAGAGGGAAATTCACATTTCTGGGGGGAGGGAAATTCTTATTTTGGGGGGATTTTCTGTTTTTTAAGGGATTTTTAGTTTTGGGGGGATTTTTCCTGATTTTTCTGGGGTCCCATTTTGGGTGGAAGTTCCAAATTTTTTGGGGGTGGAAGTTCCCATTTTTGAGGGAATTTTCCCTGTTTAATTTTTATGAGATTCCCCTTTTTTTTAATGGGGTTTCTCAGTTTTTAATGGGGTTTCCTTATTTCGGAGGAAATTCCCTATTTTGGGGGAATTTTCCCTATTTTGGGGGAATTTTCCTCTATTGATTTTTTATCAATAGAGGATTTTATCAATATTATCAATAGATTTTTTATCCCCTTCTCTGTTTTTTTATGCGATTCCCCTCTTTATTTTTAATGGGATTTCTCCTTTTTTTATGGAATTTGCCTGGTTTTTATGGGATTTCCATTTTCTTATGGGACTTCCATTTTTTTATGGGACTTCCATTTTTTTATGGAATATAAATATAAATATAGAAATAGAAATATAAAATTTTTTTTAATATTTTTTTTCTCTGTTTTTAATGGGATTTTCCCATTTTTCAGGGCTGGGGATGGGGACAGGGGGACAAAGGGACAGNAAATGACCCAAAACACCACCCCCAAAATAGGAGAGAAACAGCCCGAAATATGCCCAAAATATGGCAGAGAAATGCCCCAAAATTGGGAGAGAAATACCCCAAAACCACCCCCAAAACCGGAGAGAAATAACCCAAAACACCGCCCCGAAAATGGGAGAGAAACAGCCCGAAATGTCCCCAAAATACGGCAGAGAAATACCCCAAAACTGGGAGAGAAATACCCCAAAATTGGGAGAGAAACCACCCCAAAACCACCCCAAAATTGGGAGAGAAACCACCCAGAAATGGCAGAGAAATAACCCAAAACACCGCCCCGAAAATGGCAGAGAAATACCCCAAAACCACCCCCAAAACCGGGGAGAAATAACCCAAAACACCACCCCAAAAATGGGAGAGAAACGGCCCGAAATGTCCCCAAAATACGGCAGAGAAGTACCCCAAAACTGGGAGAGAAATGCCCCAAAATTGGGAGAGAAACCACCCCAAAACCACCCCAAAATTGGGAGAGAAACCACCCCCAAAACCGGGGGGAAATAACCCAAAACACCGCCCTTAAAATAGGAGAGAAACAGCCCAAAATATGCCCAAAATACGGCAGAGAAATGCCCCAAAATATGGCAGAGAAATGCCCCAAAATTGGGAGAGAAATGCCCCAAAATTGGGAGAGAAACCACCCCAAAACCACCCCAAAATTGGGAGAGAAACCACCCAGAAATGGCAGAGAAATAACCCAAAAATGCCAGAGAAATAACCTAAAATATCCCCCACATATATCACAGAGAAACACCCCAAAATACACCAAAAATGGGAGAGAAACGGCCCGAAATGTCCCCAAAATATGGCAGAGAAATGCCCCAAAATTGGGAGAGATACCACCCAGAAATGGCAGAGAAATAACCCAAAACACCGCCCCAAAAATGGGAGAGAAACGGCCCGAAATGTCCCCAAAAATGGCAGCGAAATACCCCAAAAATGGCATCAAACTGCCCCAAAACTTCCCCCCAAAAAT